CTATACTTGTAAATATTATTATCAGAATTTGTTCTATATTAAGGACACTTTAAGAGATGTTACACTACTAGCTTATGGTGGCAGAATCTAAATAACACTTGCTAAGTGATGTCTGGAAAAGACTTTGAAGTTGAAGGTTTCAGCATTAGAAGAAGCAACATTGTTGTCTCTACAATTAGTGAATGCAAATTGGCTTCTGGTACCATTCAGAGTTGGTGATAAAGCAGAAGTTGTTCATACTGCAGAAAGTAAGTTATATTGTCAAATTATTTTGCCAGATAGAATCTACAGATTGCAAGGCTCAAGAGAGGCTGATATGCTTTATGGATATCTACTATCAACGGCTATAATAGTACATAATCTCTTGAAGACTCAAAGGTTAAGCATGTTACACATTAGATTAAGATCTTCTGGTGTATCTATCGCCAACGACTCTTGTACTATAGAGTGACAACAAAGGATCTTGATTAAGTTATATCCTCAACGAATAGTTTCTAAAAAGGCCATAAATATGGCTGAAGGTTCAAACTGAATCTTTAACAAGGACCATCCAGATGAAGGAGTAACAAGATCAGTAATTATCAACTCAATGTATATGCAGATTTTTCTGATGTAGGTTGTAATTGTAAAAGCCTTAAGATTTCTTACACATTGTATATCTTATAAATCTTAAGAGCTTTAGGTCTTTATGTTATATATGACGAGTGAGAAATCAAAAGAGTCATAACTGATCATGGGAGTTCAGCGAACATTCTCTACTAGAATACATTTGAGAGGCTCCAATTGGACTCGGATTACTTCAAACCCTTCCAGGGATCCATGGTAGAATTCTTGGGTGAGTCAGTCTAGGTGAAGAGCTACATAACATTGAATATCATCTATAGAATAGAGGAAAACTCCAAGTAGGTCAAGGTAAGATATTTAGTCATTGATGCACCCTCATCATATAATATGATCATATGGAGGCGTGCCTTTAACCAACTAAAGACCGCCCTATATACCTTGTATCTATATATTAAGTATTCATAGTTAGATGGTAAAGTTAAGTGTGATCCAGGGGGACCAAGAGATTTCCATAAAATGATATGTAGAGAGCTTGAAGTTAAAGAAGGTTAGAACAATAGGCATGAGCAACATTGACATGAAGGTAAGGGCAAAGACATCAGGAAAAGCTCTTGTAGAAGAAATCTCAATCATTCCAAAGGAGGCAAATGCTAAGGCTGCTAAAGAAGACCTTCTTCTAGGAAGCAGGTATTAAGGAGATAAGCCTCACTTAGTTTAAATTGTTTGGTGTTTTATTTTAGACAAGTTATATTGTTTACCATTTTGTAAGGATAATGATGTTTTTGCGAAGGAACTCTTTTTCGACATTATTGATATATCGCACGATTTTTAATGAGACCCTCACTTTTTTTATATAAGTGTTGAATTGTTTCTAGTTTACTTGTAGAATATCAAAGAGAAAAAGGAATATGATAAAGACCGCCTTTTAAAGCTATTGAATATGTTGGATCTTCATGAAGGATTCCTTGCCACTCCTCGAGGGAATTTATATGTTGGATCCTCATGAAGGAATCCTTGTTGCTATTGGGTTCGTTGATATTTTTCTTACACAATATAGAGAAAAACAAGTTATGAAAATAGTCCAAGAACAACCTTTGACAGTGATATTACCCAATGACAATCTCACCTAGATATTTGTCTATCCCATTGTCACCCCTAGATCCAAACAGATCAAGGTTCAAGAACACATAAACTTGAAGCTTGTCAGTTCTTGGATAACCTCTCACTCAAAATAGGTGAGATCATCGGGGAAAAAAACCATTAGAGATCTTCGAATCACTCTTCCAAGATAATGGGGAGCGGTGGGGGCGTCTATCACCTCAGTCGTGACCATTGAAGCGCCATCTTACCCCATGACTTTCACAAATTTGCCATTCCATTTAGGATATGTGTTGGAGTGGGGTGTCAGTAGCTTCTTCCTCGTGAACAAAGTTATTCAGTCGTTCATGGGGGTTAGTCGGACATTATAGAAAGAAAAAACACCCCAATAGTGGAAGGAACCTCTAGACAGCCGCACAAAATCTCGAAGGCCATGATGATGCCCCAAACATTAGGCATAATTTCAGAAGGGGAAATATTAGTTGTCGCAAAGAATTCGGCCTTGACTAGTATGAAAGGGATCAAGAGCCCCAAATCATAAATAATTAGAAGATGAATGTAGAAGTATGGAAGAACTTAGTCATCTACGACAATTGTATTAGCTCTCTCCCTTTCAGAACAAAGATCCAAGATCACTTCTTCTTCGTGCCAAGTACTGGAAAGCTCAATCTGCTGCCGAAAGGCCACTACCCTTTCTTCATCGGAGTATAGAGATGCAAAGTCATGCACACTAATGCGTTTATCCATCATTTCCATTGATTCTTGATAAAAATAAGAAAAATAAGAAAGTTACTTCAAATATGTACATGCCTTCATCTCCCAAAGTCTCGACCTATGGTATTAAAGGCGTTATGGCCCCTCGAGGGCATCCTAGAGAAAAATTAAGAATCGAATGAAAGAATGAAGTCTTATCAATGACTATAACAAAAAATTGGGGAAAATGTGCTTGCACTAGGACAAACTCTTTAATGTATTAATGAAAGCTTGAACCGAAAAAAAGGTTAGAGGAAAAACATGCAAGATTTTCATAAAGGAGGAAATCTAGTTGTATGGGACAACCTACCACCGTCTGAGTGTCTCAACAGTTGCAAGAAAGATGAAAGATCCCTTGCATCTCATACACGTGTAAGGGGTAAGGCCAAACTTGGCTTCTCGAGAAAGATCATCATTAATTGCATTTAATGCAATGCACGTTTTGCTAAATTGGTGATTCAATCTTTCTCAGCTGACCCGCGTTTAATTTCTTTCAGTTGACTGACGTTCAAAATTTCCACAACTGACGCGTGGATCATGTCACTGACACCTTGAGCATACCCTAAGGCCAACCACACAAAGGCGACATCTTGTATTTGAATTCTCGCCTGAAGGACCTAACTAAGTCTCTCTTAAGGGACTAAACTAAGTCTCACTTGAGGGACTCAACTAAGTCTCTCCAGAAAGTCTCAACTAAACCTCATATAAGAGAATCACCTAGAGCTTAGAAACTTGAAAGTAAGAATAAAGATTTAACTAGGCTTCCATGGAAAGCCCGAAGATGTGTAAGGGGTTGAAACATTTTGGCCTCTACTAAACCTCGTGTTTGAGGGACTATGTAATGGTACAATTAGAAGAGATCATAGGGACAAGACGAAGGCATATGCTTAGCCAATCGTTCTTTCCAAGTCACCCATTTATTAGTTTGAGCGCCCCTTATCCAAATACGTCGCCCAAATCCCCAATGTCTCTATCCGCAATGCGTGATCGTGCGTGAGACATGTATTAGGTCAACGAACATTACATAGAGCGTCGTGGGATTCAACTATGCTCTCTGAATTTCAAAGAATCAGGCCTAAGGGATCCTAAGGAGAATAGGATTTAGGGCTAATGGATTATAAAAACGACAATAAAACCTATCTACAACATAGAAAATACACGCTTACAAAAGCTACTCACTTGACGTGAGCTAGCTCTCAATACCACAACAATCCTAAAGCTTCCGATAATTCTTATTTACTAGGGGTTGTTAGGCGTTTTACTTTTAGCGAGTAGATTTGTGTATCTTAATGACATAAAATGACCATAGATTAATATCAAAGTTTATAAGTATGATCTATATGATAATATATTTCAATTCAAAAATTGATTTTAAAAAATATATATCTGATGTAATATTATTGAGAGAGTGTAAGTCTCCAATTACCAATTTGGTGCCGTACACATTTTTTTTAAATAGTTACACACACATCATGAATATTATTATTTCTTTTTTTAAATTAGTATCTCTTATAAACAAGTATTAAAATATTAGCAAGTAATAACTAAAAATATATTAAATGCACCTTAAAGACAGTTAGTTTATGTTAGGCCACACAATATTTACAGCAAAAACATAAATATAACAATCCAAAACATTTATTACATACACATTTACAATGAATATTTATCACATACACATTTACAATGAATAATTTTTTTTGGATGAATGAGCAATTGGTTATACTTAACTGTATAAATTTAATGGTATTTAATTTCTTTAAATACATGTGTTCTACTGTTTTTTTTTTCAGAAATGGAAAGTAGTATATACCCTTTATATATCATGGTAGTTCTACAAAAGGTTGATCAAAGATAACGTAAACAAAGTTATATAGTGTTTCCTCTAATAACATGCTTGTGTAATAAGGCAAGTTATATAGTTTGTTTTATATAAGAGTGCCAAAAGAAGGGAAGGTTGGTATGTGTCAATTCTAATTACCTTATAGCTTAGAGGCTTTTTGAGATGATGAAAAAATGTCAAGCATCTTCCATATTTGAAAAGAGAAACAGTTGCTTTGTGCAAATGAACTTTCACATCAGAAGTTTCACTGCATGTTGATGTTTGGTAAACATCATAATCTCAAGTATCATGATAGTTTCAAGTTTTTAGAGGTTCTGCAGTTTCTATTTTATTAATATTTAACTATGACAAATTTTAAGTCATGTAATGTAGGAAGTTATATAAATAAATAAACTAGTGCTTTCTCATTATTCATTAATTAAAGTCACTACAATACTATTGGCAAATGAAAAAAATGATAAATATACTCCAAATTAGAGAACGATTCAAAACACAAAAAGTTATATTGTGTATATTTCGAAATTCAGCTCATAAAATTATTGCCTAGCATCTGAAAATTATCAACAATGAATTCTCAGACGGCATTCCCAGCATAGACGATACTTTAACGACGATGCAGAACTTTCCTGTGACAAGCAACATTTAACATGAGATTTTCTCAGTACTGTAAGAATATGGTAAGCCACGTTGGAGGCTTTATATCGAGATTATGACTATGAAATCGATCGCTTGTTGATCTCAACTATAAGCCAAAATTGCACATCTGGACAAACTCCATATCACTGTCCACATATTTGGTCCAGAGGTTTTTGTATTGATTTAGAGCAATATCAAGCCAAGGTTTCATGTTTCCGTTGTAATGAATGACTGCAGCGTTGTTGATTTCGTCCATGCTGATGCTAGGATTGTATCCTAATCCAAGAACATGCCATGATTTGTCTAGTGACTTGGTTGTGGAGTAAAAGGTAATCAAACCAGGTGCAAGCGTCCCTGATGTCCCTGATTTCCATATCGACTGATCTTCGTTCTGATAACAGAATCAATACAAAAACAAGAATTAGCGAGTTCAATTTAAAAATTGTGCAAAGGAACACATTGAGCATTATTCAAGCTACGATGATTATCATTTATCAGTATCTTACAATACATGTGAATTGTATATCTATTTGATACTAAACTGAACTTAATTGATAAGAATCTCTAGTTTTGGTAAACTGTTTCAATTGCTTTCGCAAAAGCATAACAAAGAGTAGCACCGACAGCTTTGAAAAAATGTGTGTCGGTGTCCGAAACCGACACCAACATTTGTGATTATGTTTCATTTTTTCATTTTTTCAAATTATTACTCGTGCCGACATGTCAGTGTTGGTGTCGTGTTTTCGGTGTCCGTGCTTCAAACTCATAAAGTAGAAGAAATTTACCTTGTTCTGCCAGTAATGGTAATGTTCGGTGCATTTTTCCCGCCTCCAAGCATCAAGATCAAATATATTCATACCATAAGTCCAAGCACAAGCTTTCGGATTGAAGGTCTCCTTGATTAATGGGTGAGAGAAATTCACGTAATGTGAATATCTGTGGAAAGAACCGAAACAAATCTCAACAGCACCGTTCACCTTTCCTTCCAAATCAATCTTCCACAAACCTGTCAAGTCTTTTTGCACCACAACATCGTCGTCTAAAAGCAAGATATTGTGCAATTTAGGGTACATCTCTGGCAAATAAAACTGAAGGTAATCCAACATCGACAGGTACTTGGCGTTTCTAAGTTTCGAGTCACGTGCGTCATTTGCGACCTTATCAGCTTGATTCTCAATGTAATGCTGATGTATTTTCGCTGACTCAACTTGCCTCAACACTGGTACATACGATGAATTCAAAAACGTGAATTCGTCTACCGACTTTATCTCTAAAAACGCACCCCCTTCAACTGGCCTCATTTTAAACCAAACCTTCATTGCCGCAACATTCATCCTGTTTGTAACAACATGAAAAACATGTTTCCATGGCTCAGCTGCATTCTTCACAACAGATCTCACCACCACCGACACAGCAATCACGTTGTCGGAGAATATTGCATAATGATACAAACTTGGATCTTCAAACTCCGGCCTAGGATTCTCATCTCTATACTTCTCTGGGTTCGAAATCTTCTCACCCATCAACCTCATCGCCAAACAATGCAAACTCTTAGGAACCGATTTCGCAGAAATCAAGCTAGCCAACGCACCGTTCTTCTTTGCCTTAGCAAGCGACTCATTAACAGCAAATATAGTATCCTTCAACTTCTGAATCTTTAACTGAGTATCATAATTCTCTTTCGCCTCAACAATCATCATCCTCGCAATCTTCACTCTATCCTTAACCTCCTTCTCAAACTGTTTCAACACATCCTCGTCAATCGGACTATCCGACTCAAACAACGACGTTCGGTAAGTCGGTTTCAAAGAAATATCCGAAAAATTCCCAGCCAATTCATCAAACATCTTCAGCTGCCTAGAAATATCAAGCTTAAGCTTCCTAGCATAAGCAGCATAAGCATTCACTAACGAAATATGATCCTTAGCTTGTTGATGTATCAAATCAACTCTTGTCCTAAGAGGATCAGATTTCAATGCCAAAAATGTTCTATGCACATATGCATTACCAGTAGTAGGAAGATCCTGTCAACAATAACAACAAAAAAACATAAAAAACAAAAACCTAATTCATTACATCACATGGTTCATTCGTTCATTCATTCATCAAATTAATGAAATTAACATGGGGGTTATGCTTAAAACTGAATCTAAAACAAAGGGTTGTTTCTAATTTACGAAATTGAAAATGGGTTTCGATAAAAATCAAAACTTTATAAAAAAAATACACAAAAGGGTAAAAAACAGAGGAACGGACTTACAGAGTTATCATTCTCGGCGGATGGATTTGTGGTGAAGAGAACTGAAAGAGTTGCAATGAAAAGGAGAGAGAACATAGCAGAGATAAAGATCCGGTAAGAGAAGAAGCCACGGAGGTTAGATCCACCTCTGGCTCCTCTAGAAGAAACCGCCATTAGTGTCAGATCCAAGAACAGAGAAACTCTGTAAAAAAGTGATTTTTCTTCAGTGTTTGTTTGTTGTTGTTGTTGAATTGAATTGATAGAACAAAAAGGAGAATTCAGAAACAGGTAAGAGTATGAAATTGAATTGAATGCAGTAGAATTAGAATTAATGGAAAGTGGGCTAGTTAATGTTTCTGAATGGAAGAACGGTTATGGGGTCCATCACATCACATTCACACTAAGCTAGCTCTATTGATTTTGATTGGTAAATTGCTTTGTTTATTCATGGTTTTGTTTTGTTTTTTGACTTTTATTTTGTGTTTTTGTTTTTGTGCTATAGGAGTAATTCCTAACCCACACATTTAATGGTTAAAGAAGACTTTATGGGTTGGAGGAGATTACACTATCGGTAGATTTTATAATTCTACCGACTTCATACTTTAGAGCATTTTTTAATAAAAAATTGTTTATTAATGAGTTTGTAATTTCAAGTGTCGAAGCATTATAATTCAACAGAAATAAAGTTTAGTCGAATTAGTTTAATGTGTGTGTTAAGTTGTATTAGTGTGTCAAAGCAAATGGTTTCACATAGGATTTCGACTTAAACCTATTTTAGTAATGTTAGCTATTTTGAGTTTTTATAGTTTTGGGATTTGCCTTGGGTGCAAGCTAACATAAATCTATAAATAGGGAGCAACCCTTATTTATAAACAACACAACTTATAATATTGTATTCACAGTTTGCAGTTGCAAGCGAATAAGAAAGTTTTCACAATTTGTGGGCAGAGAGAAACTCTGCAGAATATTCAACTTCTTCTTCTCCAATCTTCTTTTCTTTCTTTCTTTCTTTCTTTTTTATTTTCATTAAAGTTGTTGCGCATAATATTTCTTGAGATCAAAGATTGATTAGGAATTCTCCATAGGTGTGGTTGAATTCCAACATCTTGTATAAGAGCTCCGGTTGCGATTCAAGGAAGAAAAATTGTGATGACGATGAATCATCGAAACAGACACTTTCCGGCAAACCTTCTGATTCTCAAGAAAGATAATTATGAGAATTGGTGTAAGCAGATTAAGGTGGTTTTTTGTTATCAAGATTTTTGGGATCTTGTGAAGGAAGGAGTAGCACCGCTTGCAGAAAACGCGACAGATCAATAAAAGGCTGCACACAAAGAATTGAAGAAGAAAGATTATAAAGCTCTCTTTATAACACATCAATGTGTTGATCTAGATAATCTTGAAAAGGTTAGTGATGTGAAATCAGCGAAGGGAGCGTGAGAAATTCTGGAGAAGTCGTTTGGAGGAGCAGAGAAGGTGAAAGATGTGAGGTTACAAACTCACAAGAGAACTTATGAATTGCTTCAAATAGAACAAAGTGACAGTATAACAAATTTTTTCACTAGCGTTACTAAACTGGTGAATCAAATCAAGGTATATGGAGAAGTGTTGACATCAAGATCAGTTGTTGCAAAGATCTTGAGGTCATTGGCTCCAAAGTTCGACCACGTGGTAGTAGCCATAATGTTGTACCCCAAAATTTGCCTAACCTTTTCTTTACTTGGTTTATGTTTCATTTCATTGTTCTAGCATATTGCATTGCATAGCATTTGGCATTTTACAGGGGATCAAGAGATGTGTGTGTAACAAGAGGAATTAGCCAAGGGTTTTAAGCCTAACCAAGAGTTTGTATTCAAGTCAACAGGGGGTTATCATCATCAGAGACAAGTCAAAGCCCTTTGGATAAGCAAATAAGTGTATGTGGTTCACCTCCTGTCTAGGAGGCCATTTGAAGGTCATCTGAGGATCACAGGCCCATGGTTATGGGGGGGAGATTATCATTTAAGCTCATTGGAGGCCTTGAGGGTCATTGTGGAGTTCATTCAACTGTTTATACCAAGTGTGAAGAGCTGCAGTTGAAGGTGGTGCAATTAGGGTTTTCATCTGGTTAACCCTGAGTCAGCTGTGAAATCAAAGGAGATTAAGACTTAATTCCAAGTCTTTATGGTCATGGAATGTTGTGTTAAAATACATGGGATATCATTTCAAGATCAATTCATCAAGAAGCAAGAGTGTGAAGAGTTACTGAATTAGGGTTCTCAGTGTAAAATCCCATGTTCAGTGCCTAACTTCAAGACCACCTATCTCCAGATACAAGTCTCATCTCATCTTGACCCCAACATGAAGCTTGTAAAGCATGTTCTTAGCTTTCGTTTGAGTACTAGAAGTCATTCATCTGATTTCTAGAACTCAAGTTATGATACAGACAAGTTACAGGTCCTCAGATGAATGTGATTTTGGTCAACAAAAGTCAACCAACTTCCAATCCATTTTTGTCCTAGAAGGATGTTTCTCCTCAACTTTTGATGAACATGAAAGTTGTTCCTAATGATCTTAGATTTCCAAAGAGTACTAGAAGTCTTTCATCTGATTTGTAGAACTTAAGTTATGAGGCTTGCAAGGCAGGGGTATTTTGGGAAAGCAGGATTATAGGTCATTTTCGTTATAGGTCCATTTCACCACTTTGCACACTTCAAATGAAAATATTTCCAACATCAAACTTTCTCCAAATGGGGGAATTTACTCAACCCAACATCAAGGCATCAAAGTTTTGGCTTAGATTGAAGAATCCCCAATGAAATTTTCATAAAAAAAGGCTTAAAAGGAAAAAATCAAATTCAATTCATTTGAAAACATTTTGCACCAACTTTGTGCATTTTTTGAGTTCCAAACACATTTGAAACACAATGCCATCTTTGGATTAGAGATTTGAGTACATCTTAGTGGCCATTTTCAAGCTTTCTTCAAGATTAAGCAACATATCAAAAACATGCCATAAGATGAAATCAAGGAATCATTCTCAGCCCTTTGATCAACCTACTTCAGATGCAAGCTAAAGGAGCCATTTTTACAGCTGATCAAAGTGATTTTCATGCACTATTCAAATGGCCATAAAGTGAAAAATTAAAAATCCAATTGGGCTTAAAGAGAACAAAATTGGGCTTTATTTCAATCTGAATCCATCATATTTAATCCCAGCTTCATTCACATACCCTCAGAAGTGGTTTTGGTGAGCATTTGAGTGAGAACAGATTGAGGAAAAGAGAGGAAAAACTCAAAATTGGTTTCCAAGTTTCATTGAGTTTCAATAAAAACAAAACATCCCAAAACACTCCTTGAGACTCATAGAACGTTTCTGGGTAACTTATTGCAAGCTTCACTAACACAACAAGCTCTGTGGAAGCTTGTTTTCTAGGTTTCTTTTCTTTCAAATATTTCTCTGTTCAAGCACTTTTATCACGCCATTTTCATGTCTTTTTAATCCTTGCATATCATAGATGGATTCTGGATTGATGTGGTGGCTGTTTGCAAACTTTTTTCATTTGAGCTTTTTTCTATTTCTTTTCGTTTTGGCTTTTTAAGGCATGATCAATGAAAATGGCTAGTGGATTCATGATCCACGCAACCTGGAGATCAATTTTGGCTATTCATTTGTCCATTTTGGTTAAGTTTTGAGGATTCTGGGTTTTTGGTCGTGAAGGGTGTGTGATGGCACGCCGGAGAAGACGACCGGAACAGTGGTTCCGACGTCTGGTTCTCCCTCCTCTTTTTTAAACCCAGCCAAGGCCACGTGTTTTGCTTCCAGCCACATGATGCGCTTACTTTTCATTTCAATGGTTCTGATTAAGACCTATGGTACACTTGCATTGATCAAACACACCAAATCATGTTGGAAACTTCATTAAATGACACGGCACGCTGTGAAGCCTTGGATCTGATTACTTTTTCAGCCAATGTGCCTGATTGATATCCACCATGTTCCTTGTTTGACCACGCTACACTGAATCCACACGTTTTTTATTTCTTGTTTTTTCTGATGGGTTGGGCTTGCTGTTTGCACCCCCCTTTGAAGCCCATATGTGTTTTCAACGTTGCTGGGTTGCTATTTGCACCCAGCTTTTGTTTATTTTCATTTTATTTTCTTTTTGTTTTCTATTTTATTTCTGTTAGATTTAAGTCATTTAAAAATACTTCCTAAAATGTTAAAATCCCAAAAAAATATGTTTTGGACTCCTTAAGATGTCCTCTTATTTTTAGAAAATTTTATTTTATTTTATGAATTATTTTTCAATTAAAAATGGGATTTAACATTGGAAGTGTTTTATTTGACCTAAATCTTAACATGTTTTATTCTTTATTTTATTTCTCTCATTTCCTTTTGATCCAATTAATAAAATTCAATCCTCATATCAATGATGAGTTGAAGAATTTTTTAGGACCATTTTGCCCCTGGTTAGTTGACTTTTGATGCACTTCATTTGACCCTAAACAATCCTCATTCACAATGGAGCACCCTTGTGAATCAATTTCTATGGTGATGTTGTAAAGTGATTCTGATTGCAATCTTTTGGCCTATGGTTGCCAACGTGTTTATGAGCTTCTTGCATTTTATTTGATAATTTTTGAATCGTTTTCCTATTTTTAGAGTAACTTGCAAGTCAAGTTACCCAAAGGGAGGTTCATACATACATCTTGACCTAGTTTGACTTGGATATGACATTTTTGGATCCTTTGAGCTCTCAATGCCTATTGTTTCATGTTGCTAACATGTTAAAGATGATGATTTCTCATTTTTAGGTCATTACATTTGGTTTTTCTTGTTCATTTGATTGCTTGTTTTTGAGTTCTCAATTAGGGTTTCATTGTGAAACATGCTTGCTTCCCTTTGGGAATTTGCTTGCATTTCCTTGTGGTTTACTTCCTTGTTCTTTTGAGTACTTTTATTTCATGTCCCTTGCTGTCCAATGACTTTGGAATCTCAATTGAGGTAGCTTGGTCCCTCCTTTGGAGGTACTTGAAGCATGCTTAAAAATGACGAATCCATGAGGACTTCTTTGTGTTTTCTTGTGATGCTTATGGTTGAGTGCCATTATGGGTTCCTTGTTGTCCTCATATTGCCTTTCATCCTTACTTTGATTTAGGTTTTCTTTGCCTTTCATTTGTGTGTTTGTTTT